CTTGACAGAGTTCTGAGTTCAAGGGCACAGTCACAGACTCTCACACGGGGAGATGAGGGAATGGAACTGGGAAGGCTTGACAAACAGAAGGACATGATGAAGACCTGTAGGATGAAACAGAGCTGGAGAGCTGGGGGAGTGAAGGCACGAGAGGACTGTGAACAAAGAGCAAGAATGGAAGCTTGCAGGGCCCCTGGAGGTGTGGCTGCCGCTTTTGCCGATGCTGGAACCCAGAAGCTGCTGCTGCAATCCAGTCACCCACCACTGATGCCGAAGCTACCACAGAAGTCATCACTGGCAGAAAAAAAAAAAATGCCTTCTTCCAGGGACTTCAATGGAGAGCACTCCAGGCCAGGGGAGGTGCCGGCTCACTCCTTGCCATGTAAAAGCCTCTTCGCCTTTTGTTCCTTCAGTCCTTCCAATGCCATTCTACTTGATTGCCTTTGTCAAATCCTTCTGTGATTGAATTTTCTGAACTTAACATTGGCTTGTTCAATACATGTGTAAACTAAGTGGAGGCGAATTCAGGTATTTTGGGACCACAGGCTTGTACAACAGGGGATAAGGTTTTCTTTAAGAAAAAGAATACAACATTGTGAATACGAAATCAGCTTTATTAGGTTTATGGCAAATTCATCTCTGTCTGTTGGGTGATAACCCAACAATCTACTCTGGATGGATATTATAGAGGGAGACTCCTGCACATGAGCCGGGGACACAGTGGTGCTTGCTCAGAGGTATCTTTCCATTCAGAAGAAAAAGAACCACTGATAATAGAATAAATAAATACATATAGGAAGAATCACTGTTTTACATTGAAGTACAAATTATCCTCCAATTGTATCTAAAGATTTAATATAATACCAATAAAATTCCTAACAAGGCTAATTGCAGCATTTTAATTCCAAAATTGATCTAGATCCTTTATGTCACACCAATCAAAGTCAATTATGGACGGATTAAAGTCTTAAATGTAGAAAGAAATATGTTATAACTTTTAGAGACGATAAAGAAGAATATCTTTATGAGCTTTAGGACAGAAAGACTTTCTTAAAGGAGATTTAGTATGCTCAAACAGTTAAAGAAAAAATGTGTTCAACTTTGACTCACTAAAAGATAATCTAAGCCAGGCACGGTCGCACATGCCTGTAATCCCAGTGGCTTGAGAGGCTGAAGCAGGAGGATTGCAAATTCAAAGCCAGCCTCAAAAAATTTATCAAGTCCCTAGGTAACTTGGTAAGACCTTGTCTCAAAATAAACAATAAATAGGGCTTGGGATGTAGCTCAGCAGTAGAGCACTTGTTCAAAAGCTGGAGGCTTTGGATTTAATCCCCAGTATCCCATACACACACACACACGTTTGTGCGTGTGTGCACAATCACGCACATGCTAAGGAGTAATCAGGACTGGATTTGCCTTCTTGCTTAAAACAACGCAAGAAATATATGAATGAATGAAACAACTTTCTTGAGTTTGGTCGTTAGGCAACATAGGATGTGATCCATGAGAAATGAGAACATACAAAATGAGTCCCATGATCAAACTGATGGCCTTGAAAGAGTTCCCGACAAGGAGGAGGAACTAAGGCGGATCCTGAATTACTCATTGAGTTGGAAAGAGTGTAGGGAGAATTGGGCAGCCAGAGTTCCAAGGACATAGTACCAGAGAGGGAAGTGTTGTACAGAGAGTGCCTGAAGATCTGCAGAAGGTCATCCTCAAGCATTCAGCAAACGAGGGAACACCCCCCACCATTTACTTATTTTGGGAAAGCAGCATGCAAAATAAGTAAACAGACAAACTAACTAAATAAATAAATAGGCATAGCAAGGAATTTTTTCAACCTTGCAAAAGGGAGCCATAAAAACATAGGTAAAATATTTAAAGGTGAAAGACCAAAAGCTTTTCCTTAAGATTAGAAATTTTAAAACAAGGATGCATGCTCTCCCTATTTCAAGCTTAATGAACTGAAGAAGGAGGAGGAGGAGAAGGAGAAGCAGCAGCAGAGGAAGAAGAAGAAATAAAAGGTATCTAGATTAGAAAATAAGAACTGTCTTTACTCTCTAAGAGCATGATCATGTACATAGAAAGTCCAAAGGAATATTTACAAAGCTACTAGAATTAACAAGTTTAGCAAGGTTGTACGATAATTTCAATACACTAGAAACATTTGTAGGCTGGGGGTATAGCTTGGTGATAGAGTACTAGTCTAGAATGTGTGGGGCCCTACATTCTATGCCCAGCAATGAAGAAAAAAATCTATTAAATTTCTATATGACAAGAATGTAAGGGAAATTGAAAATTTAAGAATGCTATTTATGATAGCATAAAATTACAAAATATAATTCTGACAAGAGTTATGAAACACATTAATATTGGAAACTACAAAATACTGCTTAGAGAAATTAAAGAAGGCCATGTATGGTGGTGTAAGCCTGTAATCCCAGAAACTGAGGAGGCTGAGGCAGGAGGATGGAAAGTTCAAGACCAGCTTCAACAACTTAGTGATACTCTATCTTAAAAAAAAAAAAAGATTGATTTTATCACTCTTGTTAAGATATTATTATTATTATTTTTGTTAAGATATTATTAAAAGTGGCATATGTGCCTATAATCCCAGAGGCTAGGGAGGCTGGGCAGAAGAATCACAAGTTCAAAGCCAGCCTCAGCAACTTAGTGAGGCCCTAAGCAATTTAGAAAACCCTGTCTTGAAATAAAACGTAGAAAGGGCTGGGGATGTGGCTCAGTGATTAAGCACCCTGAGTTCAATCCAGGTACCCCCCCAAAAAAGTATTATAAAATAATAATAGGATTTGGGCTTCTTAAGTGATTTGGGAAAGGTTTACAGAGCACAATTTTGCTTAGGAATGGGTGCTTTCAGAAAGTGGGTTAATTCTACATTTGGGTATTTTAATAAATCTTATCTGTCAGGGACAGTACAGCAAGGCTAAAGTTGTGATTGATCAAGAAGCAGAAGTCTTATTAGCTGGGAGAAAGATGTTTGGTAGTTTCTGAGATGGATAATGTACATGTTTTGTGTTCAACACGATTATGGAATGGTCTACTTTTGTTTTGTTCCATTACAATATCTCTGACTCTGATGTTTTGTGAAATTGTTTATGCTCAACAGAACAAAAAAGACAGCTGTGAGCACCAGATTGGCTCCTGGAGGACAGTGGCTGTTTTTCTCTCTCACGTATCAGTAAGCATAAAACAGCCCATTTTTGGCTGAAGTGTTTAAGTCATTTTGACACAGAGAAGTGGCCTTGATTTCCTTTTCAGGGGCAGAGCTTCAGATAAGTGACTACATTCCTTATCTATATTAAACTTGTTGTTTTCACAAAAACAGGACCCTGGATCCTTTCACTTGCTGTGCAGGCCAGATAAGTGACCCCTTTACACAAAGCTGTGCTTGGCTTTGAGCTTCTCAAAGACATTGCTTTCTTTAATGTCACCTGAACCCCACTCTTTCCCAAGTCCTAAGCCAACTCTTTCCCCTTTAGTGACAGGCTCTAGGGCTCCACTTGTAAGCAATGAGTCCATACACTTGACTTTGGTGGAATTACAGGTGTCTGTGAGGTTGAGGCTGAATGGAATATAGGGTGTAAGAGATATAAATGGCATCTGAAGAAAGACTTGAAGGAGGTGGGGATTTTTAAATCAGCTGAATCTCCTCCCAGTACTGGGAATGAACTTTGGGGTACTTTACCACTGAGTTACAGTCCCAGTCCTTCTCATTTTATTTTATCGAGACAGGATCTCGCTTTTATTGGTAGAAATCGGGATCCCTCTGTGTTCCAGGGAGGTGAAGAATGCACACCAGAACGTGGAGATAAGCAAGCAAGCAGAAACTTATTAAGGAGGTTAAGGTTTAGAAGTGTAAGAAAGCTCCCAGTGAAGAGTATGGTTGAGGCAAGAGTGCCACTAGGGTCTCTTGGTATCCTTTTTTTTTAAAGGCACAGGTGGGGAAGTTGACTCCTTGTAACTGTCCTAGAAATTTTAATTGTTTTGTGTGTTAGGCTGAACTGCGAGTTGCACCCCCCCTCCAAGAAGGAGTCTTTTGTCTCTTTTAGGAAACACGTTGTTTGACGTGCTGGAGCATACCTCAAATGGTGGTTCCGACATCCATCCTCCTTATGCACTCTCACCATTTTACTCCCACTATGATTACCTGTTTCCTCTACTTCATCCCTAAATTGGCCAAGCTGGCCTCCAACTTGCCATCCTTCTATCTCAGCCTCAGGAGTACATGGGATTACAGACGTGTCCACAATGCCAGGTAAATCAAATTAATTTCGGGTAAAAAGTTAATTTCTGTACAAAGATCCTGAGGAGCAAGGGCACATTTCCTTTTTTGGTGTGTGTGTGTGTGTGTGTGTATGTGTGTGTGATAATATATCCATACGTGCCGACAATTAAACAGTATAATTTGATCGATTTCATCCAGTACCTCCTCTTTTCTTCCCCTCCCTCCCCCATCCCCTTCTTCTATTCTACTGGTCTCCTTTTTTAAAAATTTGCTCTAATTAGTTATACATGACAGTAGAATGCGTTTTGACACCTTGTACACAAATGGAGCGCAACCTCTCATTCCTCTGGCTGTACATGGTGCAGAGTCACACCAGTACTGTAATCATACATGTATGTAGGTAATAAAGTCTCTCATTCTACCGCCCTTCCCATCCCCACGGCCCCCGCCCCCACTCCCCTCCGCACAATCCAAAGTAAAGTTCCCACTCCCCTCACTATGGCTCAGCATCCGCTTAACAGACAAAACATTCGGCCTTTGGTTTTGGGCGATTGGCTCATTTCACTTAGCATGACGTGCTCTAGTTGGGTAAGGGCATGTCTCGACCATCGAGTTAGCGAAGGCCAGGCACGGAGCAAGGAGGGCATGGGAGACGAGAGACCAGAAACCATTAGAGCCGCAGATCAGCAGCTATGGCACAGTGCTCCACCTCCCCAGGCGCGATGCGCTTTTCGCGCGTGCGCCCGCAGCGGCCCACCGAGGCGCCCGTCTATTGGCTGCGGTAGAGTTCCCAGGAGTGGCGTTGCGTATGCGCTCGCATCGCGCAACAGTGTAATCGCGGGCGTGTGTTTGTTCTTCGTACTCCGGAGCCTCCGCAGCACCGGTTTCTCACCCAGAGCTCTAGTCACCGGAGCTTGGAATGTTCCCGCAACTTAATAACCTTCTGAACACCACCCCTGCCGGGGTGGAGCAGGTAAGAGGTCGCGCGTCCCGGAAGGGGGCGGGTCCTGGGAGAGTGACGGAAGACTGCATCCGGGACGTAGGGCGCAGGATGAGGGAGGCACGCGGATGGTCTGTGCCTGGATCCTGGGTGTTGTAGTGTGGAGATGCCTGTTCCTGAGCTGGATCCCGGGGGAGAAGTGCTTCTTGACTGTCCCTCCGCCCTTAAAGGCCGTGCCTACCCTTAAAAGCTTATCGGACGGTCGGGTTGGCTTAGTTTATAGACATATACTGGGGAGATTTTTGTGCGCTCACTGGGATGGGGTCCCTGGAGCCCAAGAGAGATTGCATTTTTTTAAATGTTGATAGACCCTTAATTAATTAATTAATTAATTAATATGTGGTGCCTCACACATGGTAGGCAAGTTCTCTGCCACTGACGCGGCAGTACCTGTCTCCTGTGGTGTCTAGTAGGGTCTTCAAAGGGTTGTTCAAAGCCAGCCTGCGGCACCACAGCCTAGCCACTGTTTATTCCACCCTTCTCACACTCCGCGACACCTGGGAATATTTTAATTTTAATGCAGACCTACCTTTTTCAAGAACACATCTGACTTAATCCATAACCTCGATCTTCCTAATGAAGTGGTTGGTTTCTCCACGTGTTAAAGAGCTGAGGCCTTCTGGGAATTGAGGCAGCTCGAACTACCCCCCCGCCCCCCCCCCCCCCCCCCCCCCCCCCGCACACACACCAATTCTTGTGATCAAGTCAAAAATATTTCAGACATGTTGTCCAGAGTAACAGGCCTGAGTTTATTAGAAGGAATGGGAAAGGAGAAACGGGAGAGAGTGGGTCTTTTTAAGAGAAGAATGCCTCTCCGCCCTCCAGTTTTTTTTTTTTTTTTATATTTATTTTTTTAAGTTGTAGTTGTGCACAATATCTTTATTTTATTTGTTTATTTTTATGTGGTGCTGAGGATCGAACCCAGGGCCTCACACGCGCTAGGTGAGCACTCCACCACTGAGCCACAACCCCAGCCCCTGCCCTCTAGTTTTATTTCGGGACCCAGGGAAGTTTCCAGAGTCCTGGCCCAGGGCCACCTCTTGACTTTTGACAGCAGGATGACATCAGACTTGTTATTTATTTTATTTATTTTTATTTTTAATTTTTTTTGTGATTGTAGATGGACAGCCAGCCTTTATTATGTTTGTTTATTATTATTTTTTTTAATGTGCTAAGCCTGGAAACTAGTGCCTCACACATGCTAGGCAAGCACTCTGCCACTGAGCTGCAGCCCTAGCCTGGACATCAGACTTTCAAGTCCATACTGCCATGCCAACTCTAAGTCACTTTGGCCCATGCTGAATGGTTCTGATTGGAACCTGTTCTTAAAGATTTTATGGTTAGGGGCTGGGGATGTGGCTCAAGTGGTAGCGCGCTCACCTGGCATGTGTGCGGCCCGGGTTCAATCCTCGGCACCACATACAAACAAAGATGTTGTGTCTGCCGAAAACTAAAAAATAAATATTAAAAAATTCTCTCTCTCTCTCTCTCTCTCTCTCATCTCTCTCTCTCTCTCTCTTTAAAAAAAAAAAAGATTTTATGGTTAGGGGGATTATTTTTATCTCCCTGAGTTTGGGAAACTGGTCTGTAAAAGGGTCACAAAAATGACCGTTAGAGGATAACTTGTGTTTTTCATATCAGAATTATTTTGGAACTGCATTTCTCCTGCAGATAACAGATAGTTTACTGAAGTGACATATCCTGTCACTTAAGCCAGGCAGGGCTGCAGGTAAGTTGCTTTTTAAAAGAAAGTATTTGGGAGCTGGGTTGTGGCTCAGTGGTAGAGTGCTTGCCTAGCATATGTGAGGCACTAGGTTTGATTCTCAACATATAAATAAACAAAATAAAGATTCATTGACAACTAAAAAAAATGTAAAAAAAAAAAAAGCATTTAGGGGTCAGTATAGGGGGCCCAGTTTATAGAATTATCACCTTTAACCTTACATTTCCACTGCTCACATCTGTCCCTTATCACAGGCAGCCATGATACCAGATGTGTCGGGCAAATTGTAGTTTCAATAGATGCTTATGGATTTTGGTTGCCCAGCAATTCTCATGTGTTTAAGCATCCAGTTGGCGCTGGTTACTTTGCCAGTGACTAGAGCATTTCTGAAGTCCTCACCCTGGACCAGAGTGAGGTTTGAAATGGCACCAGGAAATGAAAGCATTGGGGAGGGGGTAACCCTGAAGGTTACTTATATTTTATAAGTGAAAAAACTAAAGCCCAGAGAAGTTAGGCACTTGCCTAAAGTCTCACAGTTTGAAGATGGCATGTGTGATACCACATGATCCTGATGTTTCCTGTCATTGACAGAACTAGAGTTGTCTGGGGTAGGGCAGCCAGACTCTACAGAAGCCATCTTTAGAGGTATTTCCAAAGACACTCCAAGATTTGAACCCCATTTGAAGCAGGCCACCGAGAGAACTGTGTAATTGCTGGTCTCTGTAAACAGCTATTTCTTCCCCTCTCCCCCACCTCACAGACAGAATTGACATTAGAATTAGAAATAGGGAAGAAGTTATATCGGAAGACCTTTTTGAAGGTCCTTTCCTGTCCTGCAATCTGATTGATTGGCATCTGATGGTCAGCACTTTCTTTGCTAAGGATTTGGTTCTCCCCAAGACTGGTGCCTGAGTTACTAAAGTGAGGAATGGAAAGAGAGGAATTTTATTCTGTGTTTTGATTTGAGAAAGTGGAGGCTGAGATATGCTTGCCCATCATAAGTTACCTAATACTCATAACTTTCCCCCATAATTGTGATTTATTTTCTTCAATTTGGGGTAAGTTTAGCATATTTATCATTTAAAAATACATTTTCTAGCCAGGCATTGGTGGTGCATACCTGTAATCCCAGCAACTCTGGAGAATAAGGCAGGAGCATTGCAAGTTCAAGCCAGCCTCAGCCTCTTAGCAAGACCCTCAACAATTTAGCAAAACTGACTTAAAAATTTAAAAAGGGTTAGGGATGTAGCTCAGTGGTAAAGTGTGTCCCTGGTTTCAATCCCAAGTACTAGAAAAACCCCAACATTCTAGGTGTCTAGGTGGAGAAATTTAGGAGAGACCAGTATTTCTACACTGGGCTGATCTCTTTTCAGGAAGTCTAATTCACCTTTTTGTGTCCTCTTAACTTTTAGGGAAAACTGACTTTACTCTGTGATGCCAAGACAGATGGCAGTTTCCTTGTCCACCATTTTCTTTCCTTCTACCTCAAAGGTATGACTCTCATTAATTCTGTAAAAAAACCTAAGGCAAAAAAAGAAAAGAAAAAAGAAGGAGAAGGGGCTGGGGATGTGGCTCAAGCGGTAGCGCGCTCGCCTGGCATGCGTGCGGCCTGGGTTCGATCCTCAGCACCACATACAAACAAAGATGTTGTGTCTGCCGAAAACTAAAAAATAAAACATTAAAAAAAAAATTAAAAAAAAAAAAAGAAGGAGAAGAAGAGTAAGAAAAACTTTGAGGAAGCAATGGGAAGAGCATTGATTGACACACACCTATAGTCCCAGCTACTCCGGAGGCTAAGGCATGAGGATCAAAAGTGCTAGGCCACCCTGGGCACTTTTTTTTATTACAAAATAATAAAAATAAATAAATAAAAGGCTCAGAATTTAACTTAGTGGTGGAACACTTGCCTAGCGAACACTTGTCCACAAGCACAAGATAAAAGGCATTTATTAACCATGGGGCTATAGCTCCATGGTAGAGAATGGGTCTTGCATGTGTGAGGTCCTAAATTCAATTCCTAGAAACGCAAGTATAAATAATCAGGGCTTTGGTGTCTGAGTAACTAAGGACTTTTTTTTTATTAGGAACAGATTACTGGGCCATCTGTTCCCTCTTTCAAAGAGTGGCATGTGCTTACTGTAACCATGTCCTCCCTTCCCCTTCTCCAGGTGCTGTGCAGACACTACCTCACCGAGGTCCTTCTGTAGCTTCCTGACTTAATTGTTTCTAAATCCTTGTGTGTTTTTAGGTCTCTGGGTACTTGACCCCATTGACACTTTTCCCTGGCAGAAAGAAAAAGCAACGGAATCTACAGATAAATTAGGATTATTACAGTTAGTCAGGTAGCTGGAGACCTTGTGGTCCTTGTATTTTGTGTTGGATATAAGACTAGTTTAAAAAATGTGCTGGGCACTGTGGTGCATGCCTGTAGTCTCAGAGCCTTGGGTAGCTGAGGTAGGAGGATTGCAAGTTCAAGGCCAGCCTCAGCAACTTACTGAAGCCGTAAGCAACTTAATGAGACCCTGTCTCAAAACAAAAAGTGCTGAGCATGTAGCTCAGTGTTCAAGCAGCCCTTGGCTCAATCCTCAGTACCAGAAAAGTAAAAAATTAATTACATTCCTGTATACCAAGAGTAAACAGAAAAGAAAAAAGTTGAAAAAGACACACTTTCTAATAGGACAAAAGTAATCGAACAGAAATACATCTCAGAAGCAGTGAATTAAGGCATATCTGTTAAATATGAGGAAAAGTGCATCTTAGATGCAAATTAGGTGTGTCAGGATGCAAGGCCTCCTCTGGATATTTAGATCTGCCTCAGTGCTTTTGTTTCCAGAGGTATGAAGTGTGGGACGGATTATAAGCAGGGGAGTTATTAAAAGTCAATTTGTTTTCTTTTCTAGCTAACTGTAAAGTCTGCTTTGTGGCACTTGTCCAGTCTTTCAGTCACTACAATATCGTGGGACAGAAGCTGGTAAATATTTTAGACCTCTCATGGTGCGGTTCCTGAGTGAGAATGTATGCCATGCATGTATGAGTGTGGGCTAAGAATGGACTTTCCTCTTCGGGTTGTAGAGAATTTAGCAAAGAAGGGGACTGGGGATGTGGCTCAGTGGTAGAGTGCTTGCCTATCATGCACTGAAGCTCTGGGTTCCATCTAAGGAAATGTTGGACTTCTGAGCCCTTTATCTAAAAGGGAAAAGCAGCATCTTGGTGTGTGTTATTATCGAGAGTTTATATAAGCAGACTTGTTGTTTGTGGATGTCAGTTAATCAAATACTTCTACTAAAAGGTTTCTCCTTCTCACTGTGAGCTTTTATCTTGGTCCTGCTGTGTTGGAGATCACAGATTGGTCTCTTGCCAAGTTAGTTGCTTCCCACTTTATCCCCATCTAGGACTTGAGACCCAAATGTGGGGAGAGGTGCTTTTTGTTGCCTGCCCCTCACCTACATCAGATATAGTCAGATGAGAATAGCATAGCCAAGAGACCAGTGGGCTTCCTCCCCTAGCTGGAGCCATGATCTATGATCTGGGACCAACTGTACGTACTCCCTGAGCATGGGAACTAAAGAGGACTGAAGGGGCCATGTCAGTCTTAGAGAGGGAAGGAACCAGGCCACCTGCTTTTTTCTTTTTCTTTTTTTCAACAGTGCTAAGTATTGAACCCAAGGCTTCACACATACACACGCCCTTTGGCACTGAGCCACATTCCCAGCCCCATAGTGATCTTTAAAATGCCAGTCTTACTGTTAGGCCAAATCACTGCCTTTTCTGTGTTTGGGAGAAACAAATGATGGGTAAGAGAAGGGCAACTTCTTCCTGTCCTCTAGAGAAGGAAGAAACTCCTGTGTTGGAGGTGAGGGCACGAGCTCCAGGAGAGCAGCCCTGTACGGACCAGCATTGCATTACAGGTCACTGAGGCATGTCTCAGGCCTCAGCCTGTGCTTCAGGATGAGCAGGCTGTGCATCTCGCATCCAGACTGGCCATTTTCTTTCACCTTTGAGTGGTCATCAGCCCAGCAGGAATGGCATGCCCAGCACTTGGCACGTGGAGTGAGCTTCCATGCTTGTGGCACGTTATTGCATTTATATAAGTAGACTGGTAGTGAGCCAGAGCAAAGTGAGGATCAGGAGTCTGTGTGTGTTTTGTGTGTGTTTGTGCAGCTGTAGAACCACAAAATTTGTGGGATGGTGGAGGGTACTTGATGTTTGGTATGTGAATGAGCAGTTGAGACCTGGTTTAGGGCCTGGGAAAGACTTCCCATGTGATCTGTTTCTGTACAGGTGGAGTAGGGAGTGTGTATTTAGTATGCAACATCATCCCTGTGTGTTCATTGAAATGCAGATCCTGGGCCCTGCCCTCATTCTGGAAGTCTGAAATCAGGCCCAGGGATCTGCCTTTTTCTTATTTTTTTTTTTTTTTTTTTTTTTAAGAAGGAGAGAGAGAATTTTTTTTAATATTTGTTTCTTTTTTAGTTCTCGGCAGACATAACATCTTTGTTTGTATGTGGTGCTGAGGATCGAACCCGGGCCGCATGCATGCCAGGCGAGCGCGCTACCACTTGAGCCACATCCCCAGCCCCTCTTTTCTTTTATTTTCCCTCCCTTCCCCCACCTTTCTTTCTTTCTTTCTTTTTCTTTTTTTTTTTTTTTTGCAGTGCTAGAAATTGAATGCTGGGGAAGCACCATAAGCTCTCAGTAGCGTATGTTTATTTTGGTACCAGAGATTGAGCTAAGCCCAGGGGCACTTGACCATGGAGCCACATCCTCAGTCCTTTTTTATATTTTATTTAGAGACAGGGTCTCACTGAGTTGCTTAAGGCTTTGCTAAATTGCTGGCTAGCTTTGAACTCGTGATACTCCTGCCTTAGCCTCACGAACTGCTTGGATTATAGGCCTGTGCCACCATGTACCCCATCCCCACCCTGTACCCCATCCCTATTTATCTATTTATTTATTTATAACCTTTATTTAATATACTTATTTTTATGTGGTGTTGAGGATTGAACCCAGGGCTTCACACATACTAGGTGAGTGCTCTACCACTGAGCCACATTCCCAGCCCCTTATTTTTTATTTTGAGACAGGGTTTCACTAAATTGCTGAGACTGGTTTTGAACCTGCAATCCTCCTGCCTCATCCTTCTGAACCACTGGGATCACAGGCATGTACCACCATGCTGGCTCAATATCAGTTTTTAATTAACCATAGTAATATAAAGTTTTATATATATATATATAAAATTTTAATTGTCAATGTACCTTTATTTTTATTTATTTATATGTAGTGCTAAGAATCGAACCCAGTGCTTCACACACACTAGGCAAGCACCGTACCACTGAGCCACCACCCCAGCCCCTAAAGTGTTATTTTTAAATGCATGCATTTATAAAAATAAGCACAGGGCTGGGGATATAGCTCCATAGATAGAGTGCTTGCCTCTCATGCACAAGGTACTACATTCAGTCCCCAGCATCACACACACAAACATACATACACACACAAAAAAAAATCACAATTAAAATCAGCATTAAGTGAATAATAAGACAATAGATGGAATGGTCAAAGTCTGGAAAATGATGATGCAGGCAAAAGGGCCAGGCTTTTGGTTTCATCTGGCTCTTTTTCCTGCATCAATGGCATGTGATCTCAAAGTCTGAATTTATTTATTTATTTAATTTAGTTATTGATGGACCTTTATTTGATTAATTTACTTATATGTGATGCTGAGAATCAAACCCAGTGCCTCACACATGCTAGGCAAACACTCTACCACTGAGCTACAACCCCAGCCCAAGGTTCTGAAATTTTTAAAGAATACAACTAAGCCAGATGAGGTGGCACAACTGTAATCCCAGCAATTCAGGAGGCTGAGGCAGAAGGGTCATAAGTTCAAGGCCAGCCTTAGCAAATTAGCAAGACTGTCTCAAAATAAAAAAATAAAAAGGGTTAGGGCTGTAACTCAGTGGTAACGTGTCCCTGGATTCGATACCCAGTACAAGGAAAAAAAAAAAAGATACAACTCATAGCCACTGCTGCTGTAATCCCAGCAGCTCAGGAGGCTGAGGCAGGAGGATCCAGAGTTCAAAGCCAGCTTCAGCAAAAGCAAGGCGCTAAGCAACTCAGTGAGAACCCTATCTCTAAATAAAATATAAATAGGGCTAGGGATATAGCTCAGTGGTCAAGTGCTTCTGAGTTAATCTCTAGTACCTAAAAAAAAAAAAAAAAAAGATACAACTCATAAACTGCAACTGTCAATCTCCCTGAAATACAGTAAGAACTCTTTATGAGTAAATTCTCATCTGGACATGGTGGCACATACCTATAATCCCAGCAATTTGGGAGGCTAAGGTGTTCAAGGCTAGCCTAGGCAACCTAAAGAGACCATTTCAAAGAAAGAAAGTTAAAAACCAAAAATATCAATATGGCTTAATCCTAAAATTTGTGTGTGTGTGTGTGTTTAAGCAAAATAATGTAAGTTCTTAAAAATGTGCCAATTAAATGGAAATGCCTGTCTGAAAACAGAATGAGGATTGTGAGCTGGGAATGCCCAGGGGAAAGAAAGTATGGGCTTGTATTAAGAGTAGACAGGGGGCTGGGGTTGTGGCTCAGTGGTAGAGCACTTGCCTAGCATGTATGAGGCATTGGGTTTGATCCCCAACACCACATAAAAATAAATAAATAAATACACAAAATAAAGGTATTAAAAAAATGACAGCATGTTTAAAAAATATATATAGAGAAAGAGGGCTGCACACCTGTAATCCCAGCAGCTGGGAGGCTGAGACTGGAGGATCGCAAATTCAAAGCCAGCCTCAGCAAAAGCAAGGCACTAAGCAGCTTAGTGAGACCTTGTCTCTAAATAAAATACAAAATAGGGCTGGGGATGTGGCTCAGTGGGCAAGTGCCATGGTCAAAAAAAATAATTAGACATGTTCACATTTGCAGGGTTTGGAATGTGTTTTGAACCTTCTTATGAGCTACATCTAGCCTCTCTAAAGGGTTCCTCTATAAGGCACAGTAATTCACTGTTCTTTTTCTCATCTTTAGGGTGTCAGTCTGACCATGGCACGGGAACGTGGGCAGCTTGTATTCCTTGAGGGTCTCAAGTCTTCAGTGGATGTCTTCTTCCAGGCTCAGGAGGAGACACACCCGCTGCAGTTTCTCAGGTCAGAGTGCATACCTGACAGGTGGACCCAGGAAAGGTTTGCTGTGTGATTCCTTCTTGTGTAGGAGGCAGAACTAGCTTCTGGGATCTGACACTTCACCTGGTGTCGCAGCATTATCAGAAAGCACATGGCTCACTTGTAATCCCAACAGTTTGTGAGGCTAAGGCAAGAGGATTGTGATTTCAAAGCAAACCTCAGTAATTTAGCAAGGCCCAACTCAATGAGATCTTGTCTCTAAATAAAATTTTAAAAAGGGCTGGGAATGTGGCTCAGTAGTTAAATGCCCCTGTTCAATCCTTGGTAGCAAAAAGAATGTGTATGGCTCTTATCATGGTTCCAAGGTAACACAGTTGTCCCAAAGGCTACATACAGAAAGCATCATTTGCTGGGAGTATGGCAGAACAACATGCTTTGCTGTTTTTCAAACCCTGGCTCAGAGCCATTGCATGTACAACTTTGCTTTATTCTTTCCTTGGTACAAGGATCAGCAAACTAAGGGCCTTGGCTAGCCATGTTTTTTTAAAAATTTTGTTTGTATATTGTTTTTGGCTATTTTGATCTACAGTGATAGTGCATAGTTGGGACAGGGGCCATGTGACCCACAATTCTAAATATTTAGTATCTACTCTCTATTTATTATCTGTCTCTTCTAAAAAAAATTTGTCATCACCTGGTTTGGTATCCAACATCACAGGTCTACATGGGTGCCATGGTGCAGGCCTGTAATCCCAGCAATTTGGAAGGCTGAGGCAGGAGGACTGTAATTCAAGGCCAACTTGAGCAACTTAGTGACACCCTGTCTCAATATTAAAAAGGGATAGGGATAGAGCTCAATGATAAAGTGCCCCTGGGTTTAATTCCTAGTACTACTAAAATAATTAATTTAAAAAAATCACAGATCTCATATTGGTTTTCCTACTTCTTTTTTTTTTTTTTTAATATTTATTTATTTATTTTAGTTTTCGGCGGGCACAACATCTTTGTTTGTTTGTGGTGCTGAGGATCGAACCCGGGCCACACGCATGCCAGGCGAGCGCGCTACCGCTTGAGCCACATCCCCAGCCCCTGGTTTTCCTACTTCTGATCAGAAGTTCATATGAACTCTCCCCACTGCCGCCTCCTTTCAGGTATCCCTTTATACAGTGGACTAGAAGACTATATTCCCTGACTCCATCTATGATCTTGAACACATTCCTTAGTACCTCTAATCCTGGGTTTCTTCATCTGAATGTAAGGGCTAGTTACACCTGATCCCAAGGTGTGGGGAGTTGCTTCATTGTTAGGGAAGATAACCCAATGCCAAGAGCTCAGCCCTGGAACATGAGGCCCTGGGCTTCATTCTTCTACTCATTGCTGGGAGTTGACTGCTGGGGCATTCAGAAGGAGATGGATTAGCTTGTGTCATAAACAGGTCAGATCTGTTATGCTTAGAAACAGCTCTTAGACCACTATCCTTTACCACCAAAGCACCAGAATTGCTATTAAACAATTTTTTTTCCTTTAGTACTAGGGATTGAACCTGAGGACACTATACCACTGAGCTACATCTCTAGATACTTTTTAATTTTTTATTTTGAGACAGATTCTCACTAAGTGACTGAGGCTGTTCTTGAACTTAGAATCCTCCTACCTCAGCCTCCCAAGTAGTTAGTATTATAGGTCTACACCACTGCACCCTGGCCTGTTTAACTTTTTACAGCAACATGACCTCCTAGGAATTCTTTGTCTGCTTACTCCAGTCTAATCTTCCAGATGTCATGAACTCTTTTTTTTAGAATTTAACCTTTATTTTTTATTTATTTGTTTTATGTGGTGCTAAGGATTGAGCCCAATGCCTCATCCATGCTAAGCAAGTATTCTACAACTGAGCTACAACCCCAGCCCATAAACTCTTTCTCTTTTTCTTTTGTATCAGAGGCGTTTAACGACTGAGGCACATCCCCAGCCCTTTTTATATTTTATTTAGAGACAGGGTCTTGCTGAGTTGTTTAGGGCCTCACTAAATTGCTGAGGCTGGCTTTGAACTTGGCATCCTCCTGCCTCAGCTTCCTGAGCTGGTGGGATTACAGATATGCACCAGTGTGCCCAGCCTGGATGTATAATAAACTCTTGGGTTGAGAAACTATATTCTCTCTCTTTTTCTTTCTTCTTCTTTTTTTTGGGGGTGGGTGCGGTGGGGGTACTGACGATTGAATCTCAGGGCACTCTGTTAATGAGCTCCATCCCCAGCTCTTAATATTTTAAATTTTGAGACAAGGTCTCACTAAGTTGCTGAGGCTGGCCTTGAACTTGTGATCCTTCTGTCTCTTCTCCCCAAGTAGCTAAGGGCACCACTGCACCTAGCTTGTATGGTGTGTCTCTTTTTTTGCGGGACGGGTACCGAGGATTGAACTCAGGGGCACTTAATCACTGAGCCACATCTCCAGCCCTATTTTGTATTTTATTTAGAGATAGGGTCTCACTGAGTTGCTTAGCACCTCACTGTTGCCTGAGGCTGGATCCTCTTGCCTCAGCCTCCCGAGCAACTGGGATTATAGATGTATGCCACCATGCCCAGCTGTATGGTGTCTTTTTTTTTTTTTTTTCTTTACATGCTACTTTGTTTTTAGTTGTAGATGGATACAACAACACCTTTGTTTTAGTTTTATGTGGTGCTAAGGATCCAACCCAGTGCCTCACACATGCTAGGCAAGTGCTTTACTACTGAGCCACAACCTCAGCCCCTGTATGGTATCTTTTTTTTTTTTTTTTTTTTGTGGTGCTGGGAATTGAACCCAGGGTCTTGTGCATGCGAGTCAAGCCCTCTTCCAGCCGAACTGTATCCCCAGCCCTGTATGGTATCTTTTAAGGCGCCCAGCAGCTATTCATTTTTGTGTTCCCCAGTTTCTAACAGTGCTTTGTACCTACTAGGCTGCAGGAAGTATTTGAATTGGAGTAAAACTTTTACATGAGCATGCCTTTTCTTTTCCAGATTGCCAAGAACTGTGATATAGTTCTTGGTCTCTTCTGGCACTTTCCTAGTGCCACTTGGTCCCACATAAATATTTGTAGAAAAAAATGAGCTCTGGTGACTTTTGTCTTGTTTCTCCAGGGAGGCCAGCGCTGGGAACTTGGAACCATTGTATCAGTTTGTACGGGAGGCCTTGAAACCCGTGGATAATGAGGAGGCTACCTGGAGGTGTCCAGTGCTGCTGGTGGATGACCTCAGTGTGTTGCTGAGCCTAGGCTTGGGGGCAGTGGCCGTGCTGGATTTCATCCACTACTGCAGAGCCACTGTGTGCCAGGAGCTAAAGGTACTAATGGAACTATTCTCCGTGCTGCCACCTGTGACCTCTAAAGAGTCCAGACAGGTCTGGACTCATTTTCTTGCAGTGATCTTTTTATTTGCTTAGGGTTTGATTTCCCTTTCCTCTGGCAGGCCTAGAATTCATGGTTTACCCACCCTGTTTTCCCCTATTGCCATTGCTAAAAAATAAATCCTTCAAAAGAAAAGGAATGATCAGGGGGCTGGGGTTGGGGCTCAGAGGTAGAGTGCTTGCCTAACATGCATGAGGCACTGGGTTCAATCCTCAGCAGCACATAAAAATAAAATAAAGATATTGTGTCCACCTAAAACTAAAAAATAAATATTAAAAAAGTAAAAGGAATGACAGCACTGTGTTCAGTGGGACTGGTCACATGTGGCACAGTCCTGGGATATTATTATTTCTTCATATATTTTGAACATCTGCTCAGATAAAGAGTATAAATTGCTTTATATGTTATTTTTTGTGGGTGGGGTACTGGGGATTGAGCCCAGGGTTTCACACTAAACTGCTTTAAAAATTATAAAGTGCAGCCAGTCACATGCCTGTAATTCCAGTTATCTGGGAGACTGAGGCTGGAGGTTCATGAGTTTGAGGGCAGCCTGGGTAATTTAATGTAATTTAATAGCTCAGTGGTAGAATGCTTGCCTAGCACATGTGAGGCACTGGGTTTGATCCCCAGCACCACATAAAAAATTAACAATTTAAAGGTATAAAAAATAAAAATAAAAAAGGCTGGTAAATTAGCTCATTGGTAGAGTGCTTGCCTAGCAAGCATGAGGCCCTGGATTAAATTCTCAGTACAATAATAAATTTAAAGTGTAATAAAGTATAGGATATAAGATATCTTTATTGAGGAGGCAAAACTAGAGATTTTGCCTTAATAGAGATATTTAACAGTGATTGTAAACCAACCACCTACCTCACTGATACCTGACTGCTATAGTTGAGTGAGGTGAAGCTTGTACACACTAGCACACTCTCTAATATGGCAGCCACCCTTAAGAAGAGCTATGGAGCTCTAGGAGCCTGTGGACGTTGGTGTGGCCCCATCTGGCTGAGAGTATGATGTAGTGAGAGAGGAGCTGAGTGAGTTAGTGCCGGTGAGGATATCTAGCAGAGCACGTGGAACACCACCTGTGTACAGAAGCCTGCCCAGGAGCTGTGTTTTGGGAGCTCCTGAGGCTGTCCTGCCTCAGTCACAGGAACTAAGGTACTACTGTGAAGGTGGAGGGGAGAGTGAAGGAGGTAGTAAAAGTTACCTTCTGCAGCCCAGCTTGCTCTGTGTTCTATTATTACTCTCTTTTTGTAAAAATTACTTCTTTTAGTTCAAAAAGTGAAACAGGTTTAGTTAAAAAAAAAAAGAAGAAGAAGAAAAGAAAAGAAAGAAAGAAACTGTATAAAGAGTACTTTTAGCTGGGTGTCGTGGCACATGCCTGTAATCCTAGGGCTCTGGAGGCTAAGACAGGAGGATCACAGAGTTCAAAGCCAGCCTCAGCAATGGCGAGGTGCTAAGTGACTCAGTGATACCCTGTCTCTAAATAAAATACAAACTAGGACTGGGGATGCGGTTCAGTGGTCAAGTGCCCCGGGTTCAATTCCCTGTACCTCACGGCAAAAAAGAGTACTTTAGTGAAAAGTAATTGTCTTTCTCCCTCCAATGCCTATTTTCCTGGAGAGTCTATGTAATTGTGAACATTTTTTTTTAATATTTATTTTTTAGTTGTAAGTGGACACAGTATCTTTATGTGGTGCTGAGGATCGAACCCAGTGCCTCAAGTGTACTAGGCAAGCACTATACCACTGAGCCACAACCCCAGCCCAATTGTGAACATTTTTATATGTGATTTGTCTCCCTGTATTTTCCTTCACATTACTGGTAATCTGCCACCCACACTCTTTGGGATTTCTTTTTTCATTAAATAACACACAGTGTCAGTATGTTTGTTATTCAAAAAAACAATACAACTGGACAGAATTCCTTTGAAATAATTTATTATCTAAGCCATCACTTTTCTCTTTTTTCCTTTTGGTAGTACTGGGGATGGAACCCAGGTGCATGCTAAACCTACTGAGCTGTGTGCCCAACCCTTAGCTTTCACTTTTTTTTTCTTTTTCTTTTCTGAAATAATGAAGGGGGCTCAATCAAACCCAAGGCCTGGAGCATGCTGAGTAAATGCTCTACCACTGAGCTACAACCCCAACCCTTTTTATTTTCTGTTTTGAGGCAAAGTTTCCCTACATTGCCCAGGTTGTTCTCGAACTTGTAATCCTTCTGCCTCAGCCTTCAGAATTGCTGGAATCCCACCACAGGTGCATACCACCACATCCATTCTTCCCCATCATTTCTGCTTGGCTAACTCCTACTTGCCCTTTAAAACTCAGGTCAGATGTGCTCATCACTTGGCCCCTCCTCTGACCTAGACAGGATGTGTCTCCTTTGTGTTCCCCAGCAGCCATTATTCCCTCTCTCTTGGACTTGTCATCCTGCAGAGCCTACATTTCTTAACTCTGTTGTGGTGTCTGGTACACAGTAAGTACTCTGGAAACTTGTTGACTGGATGAATTAGGGCCTGGCAGATGGTGGCACTTGTTATAATGTTCAGGAATTGAGGACACTGAATTAATTTTGACGACTATAGGGTGAGCTTGATTTTAGATGAATTGAGCTGGAAGTATAGGCTGGGCTTGCTGGTGACTGTGTCCAGTGGATTATTAGAATTAGGGTCCTCCAGCCCAGCAGGAGTCCTTCCTGCTAAGGGGCTGACTGTAGCTACAGCAGTGTACAGGGAGGATGATCTGTGAGAGGATACACAGGGGTGGAGACACTGAGAGCCTGGTGTTCCTTGACCTTCATGTCCCTTTCAGTAAGCAATAATTTTCTGTCTGTGTCTGATGCAGGGAAATGTGGTGGCCCTGGTACATGATAGTGGAGATGCTGAAGATGAGGAGAATGACATCCTGCTAAATGGCCTCAGTCATCAGAGTCACCTAATCCTGAGAGCTGAGGGCCTGGCCACTGGTTTCTGCAAGGATGTACATGGACAGGTATGTAGGCGTTGGGGTTAGGGGTTCGCCGGGCAGTGGGCTGTTTGGCCCTGTGTTTGTGAATCCAGACTGTACAGGTGAGAGTGTCAGGTCTGAGGGAGGAATATCTAGGCCTGGGACTTTCCTTCAGATGGAAGGGAAACCTCAAAAGCGGTGTCAGTGCAAATAAGTGACCTGTGCTAGATGGTGCTCAGCCTCATGAGGCACGGCACATTTCCCACAGTGGTCTCCTTTGTGAACAAAGTGGAGCTCTGCTAAAAAGGAGACAGCTGTCTAGAGTGAATTGTAGGGGCTGTGATATCAAGTAACAGCAAAATTGCTCTACATATTCAGGCTAAAACTGTTCCTCTGAAAATGAAGACTTAGGGAGCCCTTAGCCATGGACTGGCATTGCTCCCATCCCCACTGCTGCCTCTGCCAGCGTGCAGTACTTGAGCAGAAGCTAGGAGGGAAGCCAGCCTTTGCCCTTTCAAATGGGCTGCTGTGGTTCTGCACCTTTCTCAACTTCTCTGTTGGAATCATCTGTGGGCCTCCACCACAGCTTCCAGTTATCTTCCTGTTGACCACTCTTGACCCAGCAGCCATTCTCCTTGGCCCAGAGTCATTCAGAGCAAAATCTGGTAGATTTCAGCAAAGGAGCAAGCCCAGAAATGCTGTGTTTGGTACCTGTGACACAGCATGAGAGGGTTCTGTGGGGTACCTGTGGTCCCTTTCAAGTCAGTGAAATTATGAGAATAAATGCCTAGGACTGGGGATGTAGCTCAGTGGTAAAGCACTGGCATAGCATATATTTGATCAATCCTGGTACCACAAAACAACCCCCCCCCCCAAAAAAAAATGCAAAGAATAAATGTCCAGTCTTTCTGAGTGTTGATTGTACAAATTCTAGTGTGTTGATTTTCAAAGTTATTCTAACCAATAAGTACAAAACCATGAATAGAAAAAAAACCAAATGGAGGGACTGGGGATGTGGCTCAAGCGGTACACATTCGCCTGGCATGTGTGGGGCGCTGGGTTCCATCCTCAGCACCACATAAAAAAATAAAAATAAAAGATGTTGTGTCCACCGAAAAACTAAAAAAAAAAAAATTTTTTTTAAATGGAAATGCGTAAATATACTTGTATAGTTTTTCTCTGGGGGATTTTTTTTCCATCTTTTTTCTTTTGCTTTCACATTTTCTGTAACAAGCAAATATTACTATTGTATTGGAGGGGGAAACCTTTAATTTTAGTTAGCTGGCAATAAGTTTATTTTAAAAGTTGGTCCCAGAGAGGGGAATGGGAATAGGAAAGACAATAAACTGAATTGGACATAACTTTCCTATGTTCTTTGTTTTTTTTAAAGCACAGGTCTTTTATGTATATAAAAAAGTCAGTGGACCTTTATTGTTTATTTATTTATTTATTGGTGCTGGGGCTTGAACTCAGGGACAAACAACCACTGAGCCATATCCCCAGCCCTATTTTGTATTTTAGGTAGAGGCAGGGTCTCACTGAGTTGCTTAGCACCTCATCATTGCTGAGGCTGGCTTTGAACTCAAGATCCTCCTGTCTCAGCCTCCCGAGCTGCTGGGATTATAGGTGTGTGCCACCGCGCCTGATTTATTTATTTATATGCGGTGCTGAGAACTGAACCTAGTGCCTCATATGGTAGGCAAGTGCTCTACCACTGAGCCACATCCCCAACCCCTTTCCTGTGTTCTTATATGAATACCTGAGTAGTGTAACTCCACATCATGTATAACCACAAAGATGAGAAGATGTATTCCATGTATGTATGATATGTCAAAATATACTCTATTGTCATATATATCTAAAAAGAATAAATAATAAAAAAAATGTTGGTCCTACTAGGTGCGATGGCACACATCTTTAATCCCAGTGGCTCAGGAGGCTAAGGCAGAAGGATCACAAGTTTGAAGCCAGTCTTAGCAACTTAGTGAGGCCCAAGCAACTTAGCAAGACCCTATCTCAAAATAAAAAAAATTTAAAAACTTTAAACAAAGGGCTGGGGATGTGGCTTATTAGTTAAACACCCCTGGGTTCAATCTTTGGTACCACTACTCCCCCTCCAAAAAAAAAGTCATTGGTCCCATTACTGTGTGGCTCGTCTAAGATCCCATAGAAATCTCAATAAGAGGGCACAAAGTGGCTGAGCAAGGTTCACAGTGAAACAAACGGGTACTTGTGGTACTTGTGGCTGCCCCTCTTTCATTCTTCTCCCTCTTTGCAGCTAAGGATCCTTTGGCGGAGACCATTGAAGCCCACAGCCCAGCGGGATCGGAGCCTCACTTACCAATACAAGATACAGGATAAGAGTGTGTCCTTTTTTGCCAAAGGAATGTCTCCTGCTGTTCTGTGACCTGATTTAGGGGCAACCAAGGCTCCTTTGGACTCTTTGGGATGTGGAAGACAAAGCATCCCCACAGGATGGGGTCTTCTGCCTTTGTCATACTGTTTCAGGTTGGACTGGCAGCTCCCCTGTCACCAGGGAGGGGCTGTAATGGTGTGTATGCCTTTGTTCCTCTGGGCCCTGTTCAGAAAACAGAGTGAAGATCCATGACCCTGAGTGAGGCTGGATATTCAACTCCAGCAAAAGGCACTTTGGAGCTTTCCATGTAAATACACTATAGCCCCACCTGCTCATTTTGAGTTATGTCTTTTAGAGCCAGAGTGGATTCAGTGTGCCATCAGGTGATAACCTGAATGGCAGGTGTCCAGAGTGACAACTAGGACAACTGTGGCTGGAATAAAGTGAGTTCCTACACTGGGGCTTCCTGGGGGTTGTCTCTTTTAAGTTGGTTTTTTTTTTTTTTTTTTTTTTTTGGTACTGGGGATTGAACCCAGGGACACTGAACCATTGAGCCACATCTCCAGCCTTATTTTGTATTTTAAAGTAGAGACAGAATTTCACAAAGTTGCTTAGCACCTCTCTTTTGCTGAGTTCAATCTCCTAGACCATAAATAAATAAAATAAACGTTCACATTAAAGCATTTAACTTGGGGCTGGGGCTGTAGCTCAGTGGTAGAGCGCTTACCTAGCATGTTTGAGGCACTGGGTTCAATCCTCAGTATACCACATTAAAAATAAATAAATAAAAGTAAATGAAGTAAAGGTTAAATTCTTTTTTAAAAAATATTCATTTTTTAGTTGTAGTTGGACACAATATCTTTATTTTATTCATTTATTCTTATGTGGTGCAGAGGATCAAACCCGGGCCTCGCACGTGCTAGGCCAGCATTCTACCGCTGAGCCACAACCCTAGCCCAAGTTCTTTTTTTTTTTTTTAATTTATACATGACAGCAGAATGCATTACAATTCTTATTACATATATAGAGCACAATTTTTCATATTTCTGGTTGTATACATAGTATATTCACACCAATTCGTGTCTTTATGCCTGTACTTTGGATAGTAATAATCATCACATTCCACCATCATTAATTACCCCATGCCCACTCCCTTCCCCTCCAACCCCTCTGCCCTAAATCTAGAGTTTGTCTGTTTCTCCCATGCTCCCGCTCCCTATCCCACTATGAATCAGCCTCCTTACATCAAAGAAAATATTCCGTATTTGGTTTTTTGGGATTGGCTAACTTCACTAAGCATTATCTTCTCTAACTCCATCCATTTACCTGCAAATGCCATGATTTTATTCTCTCTTATTGCTGAGTAATATTCCATTGTGTATATATGCCACATTTTTTAAATCCATCTACTGAAGGGCATCTAGGTTGGTTCCACATATAGCTATTGTGAATTGTACACTTGGAGGCTAGGGCAGGAGGATCCCAAGTTTGAGGCCAGCCTGAGCAACTTGGTGAGACCCTGTCTCAAAATAAAATAAGGTAGCTCAGTGGTATAGTACTTGCCTAGCACGTATGAGGCCCTGGGTTTGAAAGTACTGCCACACAAAAGAAAAGATCTCTAGTGCAGAGAGTTAACTTCTTGTATCCTTGCCGTCTGATATATGATAGGAACTTGAGTATGAATTCATCATTGAGATTTTAAAGTTTTTTTTTTTTAGTGACTGTATTATGGCTATTAGGGTGGCTCCCATTTATTGGAATAGAGACATTTTATGTGTTTACCCTCTGGTTTAATTTGTTTCAACAGCCACACAGAGTGGTGTTCTTGGTTGCAGCCTGGGTCTTGACTTCTAAGTCAATCCCCTGAGGCAAAGTCAATCCTCTTGGTCATGGAGCTGCTGTTTGTGTCAGAATTAGAATTTGAATGCGAGGAGTCTGACCCTGTAGCAGCCTTTTCCACTTTATCATATTGCCAACTGCTATTACTCATACTTAATTCATGGTGAACACGAGACCAAATGCAAGTGATTCCAGAGGCTGCCCCATATCATGATGAAATACCCTTGTCTGTTCATGACAGGCCAGGCAGCTGGGCAATAGGCTGGAACTTGGAGTCTTGGGTCCCAGACCGACTGATGCCACCTGGTCAATCCTGAATAAACTTGGGCACATCTTCCTTCTCTAGGGGAATGCTTCTGCATCTGTGAAATACACCATTCTCTGTTTTTCAAGATTGTCTATGGGATTGGGATTAGATATTTCATTTTTTGGTGCTGGGGATTTCACGCATTGGTGCTTTACCACTAAGCTACATCCCCAACCTTTGTTTTGAGACAGCACCTTGCTAAGTTGCTTTGGGCCTGGGTTGAGATTGGTCTTGGACTTGTGCTCTTCCTATCTCAGCCTCCCGAGTCACTTGGATTACAGCTGTGTGTCACCACACCTGGCAAGAACAGATTTAAGAATAGGCACAGGGTAGAAGCTGAAGTACTTGGGAATTATCATCATTTCTTGATGATTTCCAGGTTCCACTAGTTTTTTTTTTTTTTTTCTTAAATTGTTGGTAGATCTTTATTTTATTTATTTATTTAAATGTGGTACTGAGGATTGAACCCAGTGCCTCACACATACCAGATAAGTGTGCTACTGCTGAGCACCAACCCCATCCCCTCCATTAGGTTTTTTGTTTTTTTTTTTTTAATGTTTTAGTTGTCAGTGGACCTTTACTTTATTGATTGATATGCGGTGCTGAGAATCGAACCCAGTGCTTTACACATGCCAGGCAAGTGGTCTGCCACTGAGCCACAGCCCAGCCCTCCATTCGTTTTTAAAATTTTTGAATTTATGTTTCTTGAGGGCAACAATCTGAAGTAAGGCTGAGCTTGGGCCAGTTGGGGCTAAATGGAGCTGTTCTATGTGAATATTACATGTAAAAAGTAAGATCAAGTATCTGCAACTTAGTTGAAATGCATAAAAATAAGATGGATTGATAAGTGGATAAAGCAATAAATGTTTCAGGGAGATATGAGATATTAACATTCACAGTTGTAGAGCCTGGGTATATGCTTGGTCACTGTGTAGTTTCTTCAGCTGTTCTGTATGCTGTTATAATAAAATATTGAGAGAGAATCCCTAATATTTCATTCTACTCTATGGGAGAGAGGGAATACATTCTATGACAGATTTACCAGGAGCCCATAAGCTTCATTTCCCCAGAGGTTCCAGAGGACTCTGAGGGGTCCCCCTTGTGCAGTGGGTTGTTCCTGGTGCTTCAAAGCAGAAAGTTAGTTAGCCAAGTGCTTACCAGTCTTGGAGGCTCTTATTTTATTTATTTATTTTTTTGGTACTGGGGATTGAACTGAGAGGTACTTAATCACTAAGCCACATCCTCAGCCCTTTTTATTTTTTGAGACAGGTCTCACTAAGTTTCTTAGGGCCACGTCTTGAACTTGTGATCCTCCTTCCTCAGCCTCCACAGTCACTGGATTACCAGCAAGTGCCACCACACCAGGCCAGGCTTTTGTTTTTGAAGGAGAGTGTCCAGTCACATGCAAACGCAGGTTTGGTGGAATGGTTAGATGGTGTGTGTGTAACAGGGATGACAGCGGTTCCCAGAAGAGTCTGGCTAAATCCCTGTCTTGGAGGTTGTTTCAAGGCTCCTCCTGACTCTCTCTGGAGAGAAGACTGAGCCCAGGGCTCAGAAGGACTCTGATTTAACTTTATTCCCTAGGTGATTATTTTGTGAGCCAACTTTAGAACCACATTCTTTTTAGGAAATTGGCTGTAAAAAGGTTGGGACTCAATCCTGCAGGGTCATAATACTTTCAATCAGAAACCTAAAAATTTGCCAGCCTCAGTGGCACATAACTGTAACCCCAGTGACTGGGAAACTGAGGCAGTAGGATTGCAAATTTGAGGCCAGACTGGCAACTCAGTGAGACCCTGTCTCAAAAAATAAAAAGGGCTGGGGATGTCGCTCAGTGGTAGAGAGACCCTGGTGAGTCCCTGGTTTCAATCCCCAGTACCACCAAAAAAAAAAACAAAAAAAGTTAAAAAGTGGGCTGGGCAGGGCTGGGGGTGTAGCTCAGTGGCAGAGCACTTGCTTAGCATCTTTGAAGCCCTGTGTTTGGCCCCAGCATTTCTCTCTCTCTCTCTCTCTCTCTCTCTCACACACACACACACACACACACACACACACACACAGATACACTATATTTGCCAAGAGAAAAGAGGAGTGGAGAGAGAGAAAAACAACTGGTGATAGGGAAATGAGATCATTTCTGAGGGGACAGATCAAACTTTCTATCCTCCTGCCTCAGTTTGCAGAGTAGCTGGGATTATGGGAGTGTACCACTGTTGACTGATGATGATGGTATTTAAGGGCTCACTCTTGGAGAGAGTGATTGATGTAGGGGTGAACAAGAGGTAAAAGAAGGGCTCACCACATCGCTTGCTGGCAAGCATATATATGTGTGTGTGTTTGATACTAGGGATTTGATACAGGTGTGCTTAACTACTCAACTACATCGCCAGACCTTTTTATTTTTTGAGATAGGTTTGTGTACGACCTCGTCAATTTGTTGAGGTTGGCCTACTTCAGCCTCCTGAGTCCCTGGGATTACAGATATGTGCCACTATCCTTGCTTTAAACATATTCTTTTTTTTTTTGTATCAGAAATTAAACTCAGGGGCACTTGACCACTGAGCCACACACACATCCCCAGCCTTATTTGTATTTTTTATTTAGAGACAGGGTCTCACTGAGTTGCTTAGCTCCTCGCTTTTGCTGAGGCTGGCTTTGAACTTGAGATCCTCCTGCCTCAGCCTCTCTTGCTGCTGGGATTAAGGCATGCACCACCACGCCCGGCAACATATTCTATTTTTATAGAAGAAAAATTCCCATTTTAGTTCAAAATTCAATCCTGAACACAGCACAGCACATTTGGGCCACAGCAACTGGGTATTTTTTAAAAATATTTTTTTAATTGTAGATGGACACAATATTTATTTTGGTGCTTAGGATTGAACCCAGTGTTTCACACATGCCAGGAAAGTGCTCAACCACTGAGCTACAACCCCAGCCCCCAAATGGGTATTTTTGATGTCACTGCCACGGTAGTTGGGAGCAGGAGGGAGGCCAGACAGAGGATTGGAGAGGTAGTCCATTTGTTTGGCAGTCAGGTATCACCTTTCCTTTTTTTTTGAGACAGATTCTCTCTAAATTTCTGAGACTGGTCTCAAACTTGCAATTCTCCTGCCTCAGCCTTCCAAGTGTTTGGATTACAGGTGTGTGTCACCGCATCTGGCCCTGGGAATGACTTTTTATAGAACGCGTAGGAAGGCCACAGGGGCCAGGAGAAGGACTACTTCCAATTCCTGCATTGCATTGTGACTGTACTGGCACTGTCTGCCACCACAGCCCTGGTGCCTTTGAGGGCAGGATCAGATTCGGTTTCATCCTGGGAGCCCGGGGTGGAGGGGTGGATATGGGCAGGGTAGAGATGGAACGAGGCTGACCTCTGACTCTCTGAGTGGTCAAGGTGTCTCTGCACTGATGCAAAAGGACCAGGTTGCCTTCTCTGGGCAGTGCTTCTATCTTAGTGTAGCCTTGCTCTCCCCTTCTGTAAGGCAGTAAGGAGTCCAGCCTCCTGTGCTCAGGAAGGTAGAATGTGAGGACAGTCAGTGGTCAGTGTGATCACTCAATGTTGCTATTGCCATTACATGTCACCTGTTCCATGCACAGGAGGGTTACCTGCCAATTGGCCATTGGAAAAACTCCCACACTCATATTCTTCTTGAGGTAGGATAGAAGATATAGGATAGAAAGGACACAACCAGGAAAGAGGAACTGCAACTTTAAATCTAAAAACTCCATAAATGCCCTTACCTTCACCCCCCAGGCCTGTTTTCCTCCGGGCCTAAATTCTTCAAAGGTCCAATAAATCTTAAGAGTGCTGTAACTCTAGGTAATTAGTACCTATATACCTTGTTTGCTTACAGAATGTATTTTTACATTAATTAAAAGAAGCCGAGGGAGAAATATTGTTAGAGACACATGATATGGGTACAGTTCAAGTGCTGTCAACTAGATAACATCAACTGGAAGATGTTGAAAGAACCAGACCACCATTGCCCTCTGTGCTCCACCATCAAAGAAAATGAGCATAATAGGGTGACGTCACTTCCATATGTTTCTTATATTCAGTATTTACATAATTTTCTTTTAAAGCAGAGCCCAGCTGGGCAGCGGACCCACACCTGTAATCACAGGGACTTGGGAGGCTTAGGCAGGAGGATCTTAAGAGTGAGGCCAGTCTCAGTAATTTAGCGAGACCCTCTCTCGAAATAAAAAAAAATGGCGGTTGTGGTTCGAGTAGCTTAGTGTTAAGAGTGCATGCTAGTTCAATCTCCAGAATTGCAAAACAAAATAATAACATAGGACAACCAAACTTGTCTCTTATTCTCCAACGCCTGCACTTCCTTATTATGCCCTATTGTTTACTTTCCTGAATAAATCTCTACTTGTGCCTCCATTAATATCCTGAAACTCCTTTCTGTGGTATTCAGTCAAGAACCTGCCAGGATCGAGTTGAAGTCCCTTCAGATGACCGCCTCAGACCCCATCCGGTGACATTCCCTCACACAGATAACCACTGACAACAGTCACTACCACCTTAGGCTCTTCTCCTTCATTGTGTTTAACAAAAATGAGATCATACTCTACAGCTTATTCTGAACAGTCATCCAATAATATCTTTGAACTTCAGTAAATAGTAATAAAACATTATTTCTTGGAACAGGGGATTGATTCCCTACTGAGCTACGTCCCCAACCCTTTATTTATTTTGAGACGGTATCTCTAAGTTGCTGAAGCTGGTCTTGAATTTGCGATCCTCCTGCCTCAGCCTCCAGAGCCACTAGGATTACAGGCGTGCCTCACTGTTCCCATCTTAAAACATTCTTTTAAAAGACTAGGGAGGGCTGGGGTTGGGGCTCAGTGGTAGAGCACTTGCCTAGCATGTGTGAAGCCCTGGGTACGAGTCTCAGCACCAAGTAAAATAAATATATATATTAAAAAGAGAGACTAGGGAATTCGTTTTATGTAGATCATCTGTTCAACCACCTGCATCTAAAGTATCTCAGCTGCTTCTCCCCTACCCGCTTCAGTGCTGAGAATGAAACCCAGGCCCTGGAACGTGAAAGGCCAGCGCTCCACCGCCGAACCACCCCCGCCCTGCCTTCAATGCTCTGCTGTCGTACACTAGAGAACACGAGCATCTTGGGCATGTTCTTTTGCTCCATCAAGGCTCCCGAGCGCTCCGCCGCACTGCACAGCTTCGCGCACTCGCGCTTCCTGGGGCTGTGCGGCAGGTGGCCGCCAGAGGCCGCGCAGGAACCGGACGAAGCCACCGCGCACGCGCAGGACGCTGGGCGCACGTGTGGAGGGCGGTGGGCGGGAGGGGAAAGGTGGGAGGTGAGAGGTGAAGGGGCGGGAGTTGCGCGGGCGCCACGCACCGGACCGCGGACCGGGAGCGCGCACGCCGTGCCGCTGTCGTCGGGAGCTGCCTCGGCCACAGGTATCTCCGCGCGCCTCTGCGGCGCCTGCCGGCTTTGGGCCCGGCCTCCGTCTGCCGCCGGGGAGTGTCCAGCAGCTGCGCGGGCCTCGGACCGCAGCCCGCTGGGGCTGCCGGTCTCGGTCACCCGTCCTCACACCGCCCTGTTGGGCTCCGCGCCCCCGCCGCGCCCGCCGTCCGACCCTGCCCGGCAGTTCTCCAGGGCCCCGAAGCCCCTAGTCCCGCCCTACGAGGTCTGGCTGGGCTCCGCACCTCCGCCCCAGCATCATCTGCTCCGAGCCTGCTGTAGGGCTGCGGGGGTTTCCGGAGCACAGGGAAGCGTGTTGTCCGTTTTTCTCTCAAGGTCTGAGAGGCAGCACTACTGTTTGCTGGTTCGTTCGATATCTAGTTCTCTGTGTAGCTTGCACCCTCAACTTTGCTCACTGATGTTGATTCTGTTGACTTCCAGGTGGGTGTATCACCCCAGTATATGCAGGGTTGTAATGTCACGCCAGCGCCAGCTGCAGGGAGCCCTAGGTGTGGACTGCGTGCATCGCAGCGCGCTGTGCAACTGGAAGCGATGGAGGGACATTGAATCCCTGGTGCCGGCAGGCTCCCCTAGTGCCGACGCTTACTACACCCCTTTCTGCGGTGGCAGGTAGAGCTGGGCCACTAAACTCTTTCTGGCGATTTGGTAATAATTCTTGTGAAGTGAACATAGGTTTCTTTAGCGATGTTATCCTTGTGTATGTTTCTTTCATTTGACCAAAGGTTTTGTGGAGTTTGGTTATGCAGTGCTCTTACTGGTGTGCTGCTATCTCAGTGTGTTGTGCTAAAGGTTGAAGGTTTTAGTAAGGAGTGGAGATCAGGTGTACTTACTTGGTGCTGAATGCATTGTAGGTGTTCCTAAGTGATGCTTAACTATTTTGAGACGGGGTCTCGCTAAGTTGCTGAAGCTGGCCTTGAATTTGGTTATCTTTTTAACCATGTGTTAATATAGTTTAGATTTTAAATGTTTTACATATTTTCAGCATTCCCACTGGCCACATGATATAAAAAACATAATACAAGTATAAATATTGTCTCCATATTCATTGTTTTGCTCACAAGTTGAAGTGGTAAGAATTAGTTTTCATTTATTATGGACTAATCTGGGGTTTGGAATGCTCTCTACCTTGTTTTGCTACTGTGGCAAAAACAGCCCCTCTCTGGAGGCTTCCCTGTACTTTGATAATCACCACTTTAGGACCCTTCCAAATTAGTTTATTGTCATGAGATGAGTAAAACTTTTCTCCTAGTTTATGACAAGATAACAAAGGCATCAAGGTTGTGATTTGCCTGATGGGCATGTGAATAAGTTAACTGTCCTGTTAGGGAGGAACTGTGCCTGCTGGACTTCGGGTACACATGTATTTATTAGAATTGGTGATAGACTTTAGGGATTCCAGCGCCTAGCCATTCATATGAATGTGTCCCAGGAACCCTGGAAAGGCACTTAGGTTCAGGTGCTGTTTATTTACTCTCACCATGGGTGGCCATTTGCTGGCCACCCATGTTAGTTTTACTGGCGAGCAGGTACTCTGTATACAGTTTGTGTCATTACTCCCATTGGGAGTGGATTCCCAGCTGTAAAGGATGGATCAGGCCTTCAGACCAGGTGTGCTGGACTCTACCACTTGAGCTGCTGCCCTTGTAACTTGTTATATTCCTGCACTGGCTAAAGAAACAAGGTGTACTACTCAGGGGGATGCTAAGTACAGAGACAGATTGGGTCACTTAATAAGCCCCTGTCTTAAAAATAAATAAATAATTAAATAAAGGGCTTGGGTTGTAGCTCAGTGGTAAAGCAAGCTGTGTTCAATCCCCAGTACCAAAAAAAAAAAAGGAAACAAGATTCATATGCCTTCTGCCCCCTGAATTAACACTTCTGGGTTGAGTGCTTATGCTTTCTGGGCACTCTTCTATGTGCTTTAATGTTAGCTTATTTTACTTAATCCTTATAGTCAACAAATGAGATGATACTGTTATCCTTTCTGTTATGGATGAGTTTTAGAGAAGTTATCTGACTGGCCCTGGCTCACTGGCTAGTTAGACCTAGGTCTGTACCCAGGACCAGGCCCTGTCTGACAACAGAGCTTCCATGTTTTCATGCTATTGGACCTGACTTTAGTCTTCTGTTTGCTGCATTGGCAGATGAAAGGCAGTGGAAGAAGGTATTGGGGTGGAGGGAGGAAGACAGTGTCACACACTTGAATTAGACATGGTAGAACTCAGCTGAAGACAGCAATTTAACCCATGATTTGACAGCTTCCACTTGGGCTGTTAGGGGCATTGAGTGGGAATGCTTGTACGGTTTCTGGGTCTTACATAAGCTTTGCAGTGGGATCCAAAGAGGGTGTGTATGCAAGTATCAGAGTTACCTGGGTTTTAGGGGGGGAAAAATATTTAAACTGATCTTTGTGTTTATTTGAGACTTAATTTTTTATGCATTTTATAATGTACAGTATATTGTCACAGTAAGTCATGTATATAATTTATATGTAAACATATATATTGAGGGCATGTACTTAATTTTTTTTGGGGGGGGCAGGGAAGGGTGAGTCTCACCATGTTGCTCAGGCTGCTTTGAACTCCTGGGATGAAGAGTTCTCTTGCCTCAGCCTCCCGAGTATCTGGGACGACAGGTATATGCCCTCGCCCCGCACAACTTGAAATTTTGTTTTTGGGAACTACTGGTTTCTTTGATATTTACCTTTTTTTTTTTTTTTTTTTCTTTTTTGAAAAGAAAAAAACCCAGGGCCTCGTGTATTCTAGACAAGTGCTCTACCGCTGAGGTACATCCCCAGCCCTTTTTAAATTTTATTTTTATTTTTATTTTTTTTAAAGAGAGAATTTTTTTTAATATTTATTTTTTAGTTCTTGGCGGACACAACATCTTTGTTGGTATGTGGTGCTGAGGATCGAACCTGGGCCGCACGCATGCCAGGCAAGCGCACTACCGCTTGAGCCACATCCCCAGCCCTTAAATTTTATTTTGAGACAAGGTCTTGCTAAATTGCCCAGGCTGGCCTTGAACTTGTGATCCTCCTGCCTTAGCTTCCTGAGTAGTTGAGATTATGGGTAGGCAAGCCCACCCTGACTGATTCTTAGCATTTTCTGAAAGTATAGAATATGCAAGGCATTGTGTTCACTGGTTATTCTTAAGCAGGAGTCTAGTGAAGTTCAGTGTAATTCCACATAATCAGAGAGGATGAGTATTCATATAAATAACCAATTACAGCTTATTTTTTAAAAATTGCAATCACAAATGTGAAGAAGATCTGATATTTCAATAGTCTGTCTCAAATTTAGCACCAGTCTTAAATTTGAAACTGTGGTAATTGATATGGCCCTGTAGACAAGACTAGAAGTTAACATTTTGTTGAACTCTTATTTTTTTTTAATTTGTTCTTTTTAGTTATACAAGATAGCAACATGCATTTTGACATATGTACATGGAGTATAACTTTCCATTCTTTTGGTTGTACATGATGTGGAGTTTCACTGGTGGTGTATTCACATATAAACATAGGGAAGTTATGTCTGATTTATTCTGTCTTTTCTATTCCCATTCTTCTTCCCTTCCCTTTATTCCCCTTTGTTGAACTCCTATTTTATTTTATTTTATTTTATCTTTGTTTGTGTATTTTTAATGTGCTGAGGATCGAACCCAGTGCCTCACGCATGCCAGGCAAGCGTGCTACTACTTGAGCCACATCCCTAGCCCTAAATTTCTATTTTAAATGTTAATTTAAGTTGGAGACCAAAGCGACTAAATCAGTTCACATAAATATTGCAGTTGTAATAATTCTATTTGATCCCTTCTCGATCTAGAGTATTTTCAAATCTAAATATTGAAATTCCAAATACATCGATTCTTTATCATTTTTTACAATCAGACTTCATTTTTCTTCAGTGTCACTGCAATGATTAATACATTGTCTCAAAATGAACAGCTTTGAATTCTACCTAATTTTAAGAAATCTTTATCTTCTTCCAGTTTATCTTTTCACAGTTGAATGGAATAATTTGTGTTTTGGAGATTGAATAATTATAACAGTGAGTTTTGAGAAAGAAATGTTTTCCTAACTAGAGAAAGTGTTTTTACCTTTGGGAGACATTATTACTTCCTACCATTGGTTTTTAAACTTCAGCATGAATCAAAGTCACCTGCATGGTTTGTTTTAACCCCACCCTTAGAGTTGCCCATTCTCTGGGTCAGAGGTATGTCTGGAAATTTGAATTCCAAACAAATTAAACTCTCAAAGCTGCTGCTGCTGACCTGGGTACAGCTTTGAGAGTTTCATAGAAAAGCACCTAAATTAACTCCAGCACAACCCTGGGGCTCACCTGTGCTTCCTGCTGAAGCCCATCTGCATCAGTCAGTTTCATAGTGTTGGCTTGCCAATACATTATTGACTTGTTTTTAGCCCATTTTCTTATTACTTTTAGATGATGTCATAATTAATATTGTATTCTTGTGGATGCTATGGCACATGCTTGTAATCCCAGTGACTTGGAAGGCTGAGACAGGAGGATTGCAAATTCAAGGCCCGCCTCAGCCAATACATGAAACCCTTAGCAACTTAGTGAGACCCTGTCTCAAAATAAAATTTTTAAAAAGGGCTCTGGAGGAGCTGGTTTGTGGCTCAGCTGTAGAGAGCTTGCCTAGTGTGTGTGATGCCCTGGGTTCGATCCTCAGCACACATAAAAATAAATAAATAAAACAAAGGTATTGTTTCCAACTTCAACTAAAAAATAAATATAAAAAATAAAATAAAAAGGACTGGGGGCATGGCTCCAATGGTAAAGTGCCCCTGGTATATCGCCAGTACCCCTCCAAAAAAGATTACATTCTCAATTATAAAAGTATTTTCATTTCCCCCCTTAATCTCATATTTCTAAATTTCTCAAGAGGTTCAAGTATTTATTTATCTATCTTTCTTGTGGTATTGGAGATCAAACCCAGAGCCTCTCCAATTCTAGGCAATCACTTTACTACTGAGCTGTGCCCCCAGGTCTTTTTTAAAATTTTATTTTAAGACGGTCTCTAATTATCCAGGCTGTGGGCTGGGGATGTAGCTCAGTTGATAGAGGACTTGCCTCGCATGCACAAGGCCCTGGGTTCAATCCCCAGCACCACACAAAATAAATAAATAAACAAACAAACAAAAATAAAATTACCCAGGCTGGCCTATAATTTACAATCCTGCTC